TAATTAAATATGTGATACTGTATCTGATAGTTTAAAGTTTCTATTGCATTGCCTCTTCTTAATAATCTTCTTAATGAACTAGAAAATAGGTTTGATATTGAGAGCTTAATTGTTTATAATGGTCTTTGTGCTATTCCTGCTAGTTTAATAAAGTAAATTTTTAGATATTGTCCATGGAAAGAAAAGTTCCTGATATTTTTGAATTTTTGTAAATCTAATCTTCCTCATTTCTCATCAATTAATGCTGAATTAGAGTTATGGGTGGAAATTTTGGAATGAAAAGACAGAATTACCATCTACTATTTAGATACATTTAAGTTTAGGGATATGAGAGGCTTTCCAAACATTTTAGAGGGATTTCATATACTTGCTACAATACCAATCACAACTTGTTAGTGTGAAAGGTCAATATCTACTCTTAGGAAAATAAAAACTTACACGAGAGTACTTTGTCAGAAAATGTCAGAAAATAGATTGAATGGACTTACTTTATTGTCTATTTAATGTTATTATAATATTTGAATCCAAAGGAGACAAAAAATTAAAGTATTTATTCAAATAAAAATTTTGAATTTCTGAGTAAAAAATTTAAGTACTGTTTTAAAAGTATCTCGTAAATGTAAATAATTTCTCAATAGCAAAATATTTCTACTAATTTTTTTAAACATGTATACTGTGAGAATCATTTTTTATTAACAAATTATTACTATTCATTGTTTTATATAAACTGTGAAACTGATACTTCATTTGCTATTTCTTTTAATTCCTAATGTTGAAAGTGTTTTCATGTGATTTAGGTTGTTACTTTTTTGATTGTTGCTTTATTTGTTGTATTATATTTTGTCTTGTTTATTTATTAAAATTTATTTAAAAAAAAAAAAGTAAAAACATTTTTTTAAATGTTTTAAAAATATTTGTACATAACTGCCTATCAAAAAAAAATAAAAAATCCAGAAATAGTGGGCTAACCTTAGACAACACAACAGTTTACTGATGGAGTGCAAAGTCCTATGGCTTACCTTCTAGTTGGTGCACTTCGTTAAGTGATTTAGACAAGTACTGTGTTTAATTTATGAACTAAATAGCCAAGGCAATATTTTGAATAACTTTATTAAATGGAAAACTAAAAACAATACAAAATAAACTTTACCACGATTGACTCAATTGTTTAGAATAAGTTTGCAGAAATAGCAGAATATTGTCAAACAAACACAAAGTAAATAGATTTCAATTACAAGTAAAAAGTGAAATATCTGGTTTACAAGTCGACTCCTCATATATAACATTTTTTTACCTATAATGCTTTTCAATATTTTATGTAATAATTAATAATTTTAAAAATGTATGCGTTTTTAATAAATTGTTTAGAGAGTTTATTTCTAACGAGAAATATCAAAATTAAGTGTTTTTTTATTCAAACAGAAAGCTATTTCTACTGGATAAGATTAAAATATGATATAATTTTTATAAGTCTATGTATATAATATGAATGATCTCTTATTAATTTTATTAATTGATTCCTTATTTAAAAATTCGTCGGCGACGAATTCGTCGCTCATTTCATCTACAACAGAACAACAAAGTTTTTAGCCTCAAGCGTGAAAACTATTATACTTATTGTAATAACGGCGCTCTCAGATTATTAAATCTAGAGTAGTTAAGTAAAGTAGGTTAGTCTCCCTACGTATTAAAGTTTAAAAAAATCATACATAATGAGTCCGTGGGATTACTTCATCGGTCCTTCCCACAGAAAAAAACAAAAGTAAAGAAATTTAGCTTAAAATGGGAGGAGGGAATAGGGTGATGTCATCCCCTCTTCCTCCACTGGCCAATATCAATTTGTATTTGACAATTTTAAATATAGTTGGCAAATTTTGACATTTTAAAGTCGACAAATGTAAAAAATTTAAATTTTAACCATTTTTTTTTATGTATATATATATATATATATATATATATATATATATATATGAATTGCGATATATGGAAATGCTTCCGGTCTTTAAAATTTTAGCTTTTTAAAAACCTAAAAACTGTTTTGATCACTAAACTCAATAGATATCATTTAATAAAAAATATTTACAAAAAATATGTCTTTTATAATAATTAGACTGGGAAAACTTGATTTGAAATAAATTTAAATTTTTGATAGCAGTTACAAAATAAATAAAACTACACGATATTTATTTGTTTTTATTTAATATCAAAGCCACCGTAACATATTTCTTTCGCTAGATAGACTAATGCATTAACAAAAAAACCAAAGCTTTTTTGTCTGATTTCATGGACTTCACATGAATATATATATATATATATATATATATATATATATATATATATATATATATATATATATATATATATACATATATATATATATATATATATATATATATATATATATATATATATATATATATATATATATATATATATATATATATATATATATATATATATATATATATGTATGTATATATATATATAAATCTTTATATATATATATATATATATATATATATATATATATATATATATATATATATATATATATATATATATATATATATATATAGAGAGAGAGAGAGAGAGAGAGATTTATAGATATTACATATATATATTTATATATATACATATATAAATTATTTCTGAAATTTGCTTTTAAATAATTGTTTTTAATTGTTATTGAATAAAAAATAATAATGATTTTTTTTATTTTTAAAAATTTCTAGAGTAAACAAAAAATATTAACATTGATAAACACAAACCCATGTTAATTATTTAAACAACAATTTTGTTTTGACTAGCAAAGAAAAATTTAAGTTTTTAAATATTTTTTAAATTTTTAAAAGCGTTTCAACTTGCGTTTTATAAAAATATAAAAAAGTTTTGTCTGCTTTGAGCATATTTTTGATACATAGTTTAGAACGCGTTCGCTAGGAATTTAATTCATAAATTTTTTATGTTATTGTAAAAATATTTAACTTTTTAAACAAATCACAAAGAAACAGAGCTATAGAGAAAAATAGTTTTCAACGATTAAATCTTTTTTTTTTTTAATTTTAGGAAATTAAAAAAAAAATTAAATTAAATATAAAAGTCTTAATTATGCAAACTCTTTTGTTAATTATTCTTAAAACAAAAAAGCAAATACTTCTACCTCAAACTTTAATCGTGCAAAGTTAAATAAATACTCAACTGAAATAATTTAAGTATATTTAATAATTTGAATCGTATCTGTTTATAATAAACGTTCGCAAAAATTTGTTTATTAAAAATTAAGTTCCTTAACTTATAAACAAACTCAAAAGTATTTTCATTCTACGTATAATTACAAAACTCTTCTTTTTTTTTCGTTTGTAAGCAATTTAACTTAATAAAATAAAAAAAAGAATAAATATGAGGTAATCTTTGTTAAGAATAAATTTAATTTATTTATTGAACTATATTTTTATTTTTAATTATATATCAACTTAATTAAAATATAGTAACATGTTAAAATATTTTAACATGACTTGTATTATTTATAAACCGTTGGGCAGTTGCCCCTTACGGCACTATTGTTTTTGGATAATATTTTATTTTGATGAAGATCACATAACTTACATTTGATTTCAATAACGTAAGTCTTCTCTTTTTCTGTGATCATCGCATCGGCATAGTCCCAAGATTTAAAAGTTTTTAAAGTAAATCTTTTGTCCTTCAAAATACAATCCATATTCGAACTTTAAACAATTTAGAGATAATAGAAATATACAAGGTTTTTATATACTAGTTTGTTTTGTTTTATAAAGAAAAATACATATTCATTAGTAAAAAATTTATTTAACGGAACCTGTAATAATAAAACCTCCGTTATACAAATATATTCAACGTAATATTAGTGTCATCAGCAGATGTTGTAGTCTACTTATGATTTCTTTACCTTGATTTATGAAAAAAAAAACTTATTGAATCGCACGCAGAAGAATTTTCACAAATTGTCTTCATTCAAATATTGCGAGTAACAGGTAATTTTTTTTTTCTGTGCCGACCCCCTCCCCCCGCATAACTTAAACTATATACCTTTAACTAATAAGAAAAGCAAAGACATTTTTTTTAACATCTCGAAAAAATGTCTTAATATTTTTGTTATCATGATAACAAAAATATTAAGACATTTTTTGAGATTTTATTTAAAAAAATGTCAATTCTTAATTACAAATTTTTTTGGAAATGTTTTTTATTATAAATTCAGTAAAAAATTCATAAAAAATCTACATTACAAAAAACTTTTATATTCTGTATTAATAAATATGGAATATAGATTTTTTTAAAGTTTTTTACTAAAAACTTTAAAAAATTACTACTTTTTATTAAAAACATTGCAAAAAATTTGTAGTTAAGGATTGACAAACAATTTTTCATGTTGCTAAATATTTGGATAAAAAGTTTAGCGTCAAATTAATTGCTATAAAAAGGAAAGATATATCGCGATAAAAAGTTACAACAATTATTTTTAAAGTAAATTATTTTTTTTAATAAATATCTTTACATATCGTTATTTAAAAGTTAATGTGGTTTTTTTGAAAATTAATTACTTCTTTTATGTTACCGCTAATTTAAAAGTTAAAAAATGATAAAAAGTAGCTTAACCAAAACAGCTCTACGCGTACGTAAAAAGCGCTTAAGGCGTATGTAAATCGCTCTAGGCGTAACGCTTTAAAACAAGGCCTGATATATATATATATATATATATATATATATATATATATATATATATATATATATATATATATATATATATATATATATATATATATATATATATATCATATATATATATATATATATATATATATATATATATATATATATATATATATATATATATATATATATATATATATATATATATATATATATATGTATATACACACACAATATAGAGGGAAAAAAGGTAATCTTTAAAGAATCTTAAGATAAATATTATAATTGTTGAAATAGAGGAGTTTACTTACAGTAATGTTTGAATAAAGTAGCCCATATCCAACAATATATAAGCGTAAATTTGTAATAACTATATTACTATCCGACCAATAACCAAACAACAAATACAGAAATGTAGGTATTACGATGGCAACTAAAGGGTATAAACCTTCAATTACAGGTACACAATCTTTTGGAGTTTTTTTTCGTGCTCTACAAAAAAAAGATGCAGGCTCTACAAAAAAGCTCTTAACAGAAGAAACTTAGTTATTCATTTGCAAATCCTAAAAAAATACTTACTGATATTGATTAATAATCGATACAGGAAACAGCAGAAAAACAAATAGAACTAAAAAAATATAATAATAATAAAATAAGAGTAATATATAATAATATAATAAGCTGAACAAGAACAAAACAAGCACAACAATAAAAGTATAAAAACTTGTTTTAAAATGGTATGAATCAAAACAATAACCTATTGCTTATAAAAAACATTTTAAGTCAAGCGTCTTTCTTCCCTGCGCTTTTCTCTATCTAGTGCAGATGCAATTTTTTTCACAAGAACAACTTTCTTGAGAACAAATGTTTTTTTCTCAGTACAAAAATTGATGCAAAAAGATATTGTCTGACAATAAGGTCTATTTTCAGATTTTTAAACCTTGTATTTTATCTGAGAAGTTCTAAAGACTTTTGAGGTGTTGACTTTTAAAACGAGTCTTGAAACTAGCTTTTAAAAAAAGTCTTTGAATGAAAACTAATAGTTGAAATAAAATTTTTTATAAATAAATAAAAAGATCCAAAAAATCTTTATAAATATAAATGAATGTGAAGATTCGAAAGATCTCTATAAATATAAATGAATGAAAAGATCCAAAAGATGGACTTAGTTTGCTTGCTTATCTCTATGCTCGCTTAAATTTCTATCTCTAATTAAAAACTAAACATTTACATTACAATAATTTAAAAAATTTTTTTAAAAAATTAGAATGCTATTTAAGATGTTGTAAAGATAACACACACACACACACACACACACACACACACACACACACACACACACACACACACACACACACACACACAAGATTTTAATTTGTAAAGCAGAGTTGGTAAAAAAAAAATTTATTATAATTAGATTAACCAATCCAATACTTGTTAGCAATTTCCAAACAATAAACAAAGCAAAAAAAATTGTGTAAGAAAAACTCATTTTCCATTAAATTTTTTATCATCAACAATTTGAACTTTTTTATCATCAACAATTTGAACTTTTTTATCATCAACAATTTGAACTTTTTTATCATCAACAATTTGAACTTTTTTATCATCAACAATTTGAACTTTTTTATCATCAACAATTTGAACTTTTTTATCATCAACAATTTGAACTTTTTTATCATCAACAATTTGAACTTTTTTATCATCAACAATTTGAACTTTTTTATCATCAACAATTTGAACTTTTTTATCATCAACAATTTGAACTTTTTTATCATCAACAATTTGAACTTTTTTATCATCAACAATTTATCAAGTTTCTTTTTTATCATCAACAATTTTAGCATTTAATCTAGTCAAGTTTTTTATCATCAACAATTTTAGCATTACAGGCAATTTAACTGTAGCAAGTTCTAAAAAAATCAAAGGCTAATGTAACCTGACTTATTACAAGTTTTAGCTAAACCAAAGGTTAATGTAATCTGACTTGAAACAAGTTTTAGCTGATGTTTTGATTTTTATCATATTTTTTCCAAATAAAAACAGTAAGCAGCAAGTTGATTACTTAGCCTCTCTTTTATAATTCTAAGCTTATATCTCTTTTTTTTTTTACAAATACTATCATGGTTGGTGCTTAAAGGAGTTATCATCTCTAGTTCCATCAACCAAAACTCATTCTTGACTAGTCTTGAGTAATCAACTCTTGCTTGACTAGTCATTCAGCAAAGTCCTTTTTTATGCATCATGTATGCTCCAAAAACTTTTATTTGTCTATCTTTTTTATGCATCTGTCCATGTATGCTCCAAAAACTTTTATTTGTCTATCTTTTTTATGCATCTGTCCATGTATGTTCCAAAAACTTTTATTTGTCTATCTTTTTTATGCATCTGTCCATGTATGCTCCAAAAACTTTTATTTGTCTATCTTTTTTATGCATCTGTCCATGTATGCTCCAAAAACTTTTATTTGTCTATCTTTTTTATGCATCTGTCCATGTATGTTCCAAAAACTTTTATTTGTCTATCTTTTTTATGCATCTGTCCATGTATGCTCCAAAAACTTTTATTTGTCTATCTTTTTTATGCATCTGTCCATGTATGCTCCAAAAACTTTTATTTGTCTATCTTTTTTATGCATCTGTCCATGTATGTTCCAAAAACTTTTATTTGTCTATCTTTTTTATGCATCTGTCCATGTATGCTCCAAAAACTTTTATTTGTCTATCTTTTTTATGCATCTGTCCATGTATGCTCCAAAAACTTTTATTTGTCTATCTTTTTTATGCATCTGTCCATGTATGCTCCAAAAACTTTTATTTGTCTATCTTTTTTATGCATCTGGCCATGTATGCTCCAAAAACTTTTATTTGTCTCCAAACTTCATTTGTTAAGAACTCTCCCATACAAACTACAACTTCTTAAGTCTTCAGTCAACTGTTTCCTTACTCTTTAACTCTATTCTTTGTTTTCTAGTAACTCCCAATATAATGTTGCTTGGTTGCTTGCAGCCTTGTTGGGATTAGAGAGTTAAAATGATAATAATAATTTAAAAACTTTAAAACTTGGGGAAAACAGAAATTTAACAACTATGCTCTGGAGTATTTTATTTTAAATCTGGTATTTGAAAAAATAGCAGCATGGACTATAAAGTCAGATTTTTGAAAAGAATAGATTTCAGGCCTCTTAAAGTCTTTCTCACACTACGAAGTTTTAACTAAAATAATTGGCATAATTAAAACATTTTCAGAAATTTAAGAGTTACTGGACATAATAAAATACTGATATATTTTCAAATTTTCACTCAATAAACTTTTGATGACACTGTTTTTATAAATTACCTAGAAAAGATGACACTGTTTTTATAAATTACCTACTCAACTTTATAACATTTTTTTTGACTACAAAAGAATGTTATAAAGTTGAGTAGAAAATAAATAAGTTATAAAGTAAAACAAAGTTGTATTGTCTGAGACTAGAAATGGCACATAATAAAGTTAAAAAAATATATCATACAACATAAGTCAGGATTTACTGGAAGCTGGGATCACAGGAAATTTTATTTCACCTTTTAAAAGGTACAAACTATAATTAAACCATAAAGTAATGTTAAAAAAAAAAAACATTGCGTCTCGATGAACATGTCTTGATGAAGCAAAAAGATGCCTTGATGAAGCAACATGATGTCCTGATAAAACAACATGTCTTGATAAAGCAACATGCCTAAATTAAACATCACGGTCTCCTGATGAAACAACATGACGTTTTAATGAAATAACTTTATGAGAACAAAAAAGAACTTCCTAAAATTGATGTAAACAAATTTGATTTCATAAAAGTTATAAATCCAAAACCCTCTAAGAGACATTATAAATAGTGGCACAAAGCAATAATATATTTAAAGTGTAAACATTGCTATCAATTAATTTTTGCACTGAAATAACTGAAGTAATTCAATCAGAATTAATATGAAATTTTATATGAAATCATAAAACTTTTTACTACTATTAGAAGGAACACGTCCAACATATTTTTTTTTTATAACTTGTGTACCATTAAAAATAAAGAAAAAAACAACATAAAAACATATTCTTACAGTAAAAAATAAATTTTAAAATGAATGTGAGATTTAAGGCTCCATTAAAATATGACACTCTCCATATTTCCGTACCATAAAAAAAACTTGCAATAAATGAGCTCACTAGTAACTAAAAAACGAAATAAACTATAAACATTATATGAATTTTATTGCTGAGAAAACTATTATAAAAAACACAATAGCCTTACTATTTGAGATACATCATACGCCCATGGTAAGAACATTACAGAAGTATTATATTTTTCCCAATGAGGAATATAAAATGAGAACAAAACCAACATAAAGATTAGAGTTATTTCCCAGTGTGTACCAGTGTGTTCACTGACGCCAAATAAAGATAAAATACTTATACACATCAATGACACAGCACTACTATCTAGCCCATGGTCAAACAATTCACCAATTGGTGAGCTGCAAAAAAATATATTAAAACATTAACCTTAAATGATTTGCTAATTTAAAAAAAAAAACTATAAATATATATATATATACATATATATAATTATATATATATATATATATAATTATATATATATATATATATATATATATATATATATATATATATATATATATATATATAAAATTATATATAATAATAATAATAATAATAATAATAATACAGGGGGAAATGCAGTTTTTTTTAAGTTTCCTTTCAGGAAACTAAAAAAAAACTGCATTTCCCCCTGTAGTATATTTTTGTTAATGCTTTAGTAACTTTTTTTTGAAGAGGATAATGCTTTTCACTTTCAAAAAAAATAATTATTGAACCATTAACAAAAATTTACTACGAGAAGAGATGCAGTTTTTTTTAGTTTCCCAAAAACTAAATTATAAGACTTCCACCTTTTTAACATTAACCAATTCATATAAAATATAAAATACATTATTTATGATTATTTTTAAATATTATTCAATAAATATAACACATTTTAAAGAAATTTTGATCAGTTAATAACATTAGCTAACACATTTAAACTTAAGCTTTTGAAATCATTGTGAAAAATATTATTTGATTTTTTTAAAAGGTTTTATCTAATGCCAAAGCCCACTATTTGCAGGTCACAAAATCTCATATTTCATCTAAAAAATTGGGCCCCAAAGACTTTTGGAGACCGCTCAACAGTTTCTATAATAAGGAAAAATCTGTTATTCCTCCACTCTTGCATGGTTCAGATTTTGTTAGCTCACCTAAAGATAATGCTGAATTGTTTGCAAGGAACTTTACATCAATCTCATATCTTGACCACATTGATAATCACACCCTAAGTATGTAGCCAACAAAAAGGGTGACCCTTTGCTTGACATTCATATCACTCCAGTTTCTGTATCTAAAGTTTCTGTATCTCCAGTTTCTGTATCCTGCTTTGACACTCCTTCAGCTTGTAGTCCGAACAGCATACCTGCCATAGTTTTGCAGAAGCATTCTACAGAGCTGTAGCCTATACTTTCAAAACTATTTACCAAGTGCTTATCAGAGTCTTGTTTTCCAGCCTGCTGGAAAGTGGCATCTGTTATCCCTACTTTCAAAAACATTGGAGAGCGATCTGGCTAGTCTAACTACCATTCCATTAGTCTTTTTCCTATTATAAGTAAGGTTTTTGAGTGATTAATTAACAAAGACTTATTCTCTCATCTTGAATCTAACTTACTTTCTGATCATCAATATGGATTTCAATCTTTTTGTTCTACTGCTGATTTTTTCATGGCAATAAATGAAGAATAATGAAAGAAAATGGTTTTATCATGCATTAGATAGATGTGGAGAGGTTAAGGCTATGGCTCTTGACATTTCTAAAGCTAAAGTTTGATGCTAGCCTTCTCCATAAGCTTTCTTTTCAAGGTGTAGGTAATAACTTTGAGGATCCTTCTTTACCAACCAAACAAAAGTTGTCCATCACGGACACCACTCTTCTTCATTTCCTGTAACTTCAAGGGTTCCTCAAGTTTTTATCCTTGGCCCTATACTTTTTTATATCTACATTAACAATTTTTAAGAAATTCTTACTCCAAAGGTGGCATTGTTTGCTGATGATACTACCATTTATTCTTGTCTTGATAAGAAGCCAACATTCTCTGATTGCTTGGAGGGGACATTTGAGCTTAAAAAGGATGAACTTTAACTCAGATAAAACTAAATTTTTTTCAGCTAATTATTATTGCAACAATCTTTATAACAATCACATATTTTTATTATTTATATTTTTTCATCAATCACATATTCTTATATTTATAAATAGGAATGTACTAGATGAGTCATCTTCCCTTTGCCTTCTAGGATTAAATCTTACTTCAGTAAGATTTAATCCTAGAAGGCAATATTATTCCATACAAAGGTCTGGGTCTATACCAGTCAAGGATGACTTTCAAGAAATTCTGAGCAATAACTTCTAGATATTGTAAAACATTACAATCCATCCTAAACAAAAAACCACCAACAAATTAACACAAATAATACCATAATACTTCCGTGGGTTCCTAAATTAAGCCTTATTCTTAGACGCGAGTTTCGAAAAGTTGGAAAACAGAATGAAAAAAATTCCAAAATGAAAAACAGTTTTTCATTTTTAAAGATCTTTATCGAACATATTATGCTAAAATAAATCAAAGCTACCACTATACAGTTACTCGGGTGTTTACCAACTTGAATGTACATGTGGCGCTTTTTATGTGGGTGAAACCAAAAAAAGATAAAAACACGAATAACTGAACATCAAAAAAATGCCACTAAAGCGAACTGGAAAGCATCTGGAATTGTCGAACATGCACAACATTGCAAAGGTATAACTAATTGGAATAATCCTAAAACACTTTCAGTCATCCCAAATCATTATATAAGAAAAATCAGGGAGGTAATTGAAATAGACAGATTGCAATGTTGCTATCTAAAAAATAAAATTCTAAACTGAGATAATGGTAACCTAGTGACGACTCACCATTGGAAACCATTTTTTGTTAAATTTAAGAAAAACTTTTATAATATTACGCAGCAATGACATCATTATTGTAAACAAAGAATTTTTTGTAATGTATTTTAGTTTTATCAGCCATTATCTGATGAATTGTCAGACAATGACTGATGATTGCCAAAAGGCATGAAACTCAGAGTTCTAAAAAATGAATAAAAGTTGTTTTTATTCATTTTATATAAATATATATATAAATATATAAATATATATATATATATATATATATATATATATATATATATATATATATATATATATATATAAATATATATATATATATATATATATATATATATATATATATGTATATATATATATACATATATATATATATATATATATATATATATATATATATATATATATATATATATATACATATATATATATATATATATATATATATATATATTATTGTATTATATATATATATATATATATATATATATATATATATATATATATATATATATATATATATATATATATATATATATATATATATATATGTATATATATATAAACGTTTTTCAAGAGTATGTCTAGTTGGGTCTTAAATAAAGCAAAATTATATAAAAATTTAAAAAATAATCATCATTTTATAAAAAAAAAATTGAGGAAAAAATTATAATCAAAAAACTTTGTTAAACTGCTTTGTGAAACATCTATAATGTCACACTAAATAGTCTGTTGCTGGGGGTTTCAGTACATATATCAACTATCTTATACTTTGCTGCTGAAAAGGAGTGCTGCTACATTGACTGAGGGTTTGGCATGGGACAGCAATCTTTTCTTTTATTATTCTTTGTTCATTTTTTCTTTTTTTTAAAACACCATTTGCAATAAAAGTAGGTAAAACCAGTAACAATTTATCTAAATACGTTATAATATATATATATATATATATATATATATATATATATATATATATTTTTTTTTTTTTTTTTTTTTTTTTTTTTTTTTTTTTTTACTTCCAACAAGGCTGCAAGCAACCACTATAAGAGTTGGAAGTTACTGGAAGAGAAAAGACTAAATCTGTAGAGCAAGATAACGATTGACTGATGACTTAAAAGATTGCAAATTATATGAATCAGGAAAGCAAGATGAAGAAAGCGAATTCCAAAGAACTGATGTTCGAGGAAAAAAACTAGAAGAATAAGAGTTTTTGAAGCACTTAGGAACAGTCACAGAAAAAGGATGAGACTTAATTGAATGGCGAGTAACACGAGAATGAATTTTAGTAGATGGCACAAGGGACGCTAGCTCTTTAGAGCAGTGCCCATTATAGTATTTGTAGAAAAGAGAAAGAGAAGCAACATTACGACGATGTGACAAAGGTTGGAGATTGGCTGCCAGAGCAGGTCCAACTATGTTTACAATTCGTTTTTGCACCTTGTCTAAAAGAGAAAGAGCATCATTAGAAGATCCGCCCCAGATGTGGCAACAGTATTCCATACAGGGACGGATTTGAGATTTATAGAGATAGAGAATAGAATCTGGAGTAAGAAAGTGTTGAGCTCGATAAAGAGATGCAACCTTAGCAGATGCTAATTTTGCAATGGATTTGATATACGGTTTAAAAGAAAGATCAGAAGTAAGAGTTAATCCTAGAAGATGAATGGTAGATGACTCATCTAGTACATTACCATTCATAAATATAGGAAGATATATATATAGAGTTATATATATAAGAGTTAAGAAGATATATATATAAGAGTTAATCCTAGAAGATGAATGGTAGATGACTCATCTAGTACATTACCATTCATATATATATATATATATATATATATATATATATATATATATATATATATATATATATATATATATATATATATATATATATATATATATATATATATATATATATATATATATATATATATATAATACAATAATCTGCAATGAGAAAAAGTAAAAAATAAATAATTTCTCATGAAGTCTGTCTAGCAGACTTTAGCAGAAGCCTGTTCAGCAACAATGAACTTGTCATATCGATTCTTGAACTCATTGATGCTACTGGAATCGATAACTTGATTTGGCAACTTATTCCATAAAAATACTGTTTGTAAAAAAGTAATATCCATCTTGGTTTATCGTAAATTGTCTCAAAATTCTTAATTTAGAGCCTCTAACATTACTTGCAGGTCCTTGTGCTAAAAGGGAATGTGGTATGGCATTGGTATGAAACCAATTTATTTCATTAAACCCCTTGAATGCTCTAAAATATTGTATCATATCCCCTTGTTGCCTTCTTTGTTCTAGAGATTGTAAATTGAGATAGGTTAGACAGGCTTCATAATTCAAATTTCTTATTGCTGGAACAAGTTTAGTTGCTCTTGACGGCTTCTAGAGCCCTTATGTCTTTTTTTTAAAAAGGATTCCATACAGGTGCACAATATTCCAAATGAGGTCGAACAAAGGTTGTAAACATTCTAACAAAAATAGACCCCGTCCAAAATTTGAATGTTCGTTTAAGCATGCCTAGAATTATATTTGCTTTATTTATTGCATGTTTGATGTGGTATTTCCATTTTAATTTATTGTTAAAAATTACACCTCTTTAGTTTTCGCTCAATTTTTGTTGTTTCAAGGTTTAAATCAGCTCCCACATCGTCTTTCATAGTGAAGTAACAGTTATCTAGACTTTTGCTTGGTTTTTTACCGAATTTCATAATTTTACATTTATCAATATTGAAGGACATCTCCCATAGCTTCAATCAGTCTATAAGGGCGTCAAGGTCATTTTGAACTGATATGATATCCATATTGTTTTTGATCGTCGCAACGAGCTGGCTATCATCTGCAAAAAGCTTACAAAAATTCTTGACTATTTCTGGCATGTCATTTATATATATCAAAAACAGTAGTGGACCAATAACCGATCCTTGTGGTACCCCATTCATTACATTTGCCCAGTCAGAATACGCAATGCTCAGTATTACTCGCTGTCGTCTACCTTTTAAAAAATCAGAAATCCAAGCAATTAATTTTACATCAAACCCATAGCCATTAAGTTTTATGTTAAGTAGTTCGTGGCTTACTCTGTCAAAAGCTTTGGAAAAGTCCAGTAAGATTAGGACAGCCATAAAATTATGGTTTAGTGCTTCTGTAGTTATATCTAACACATCTCAAAGAGGTTTGTGGCGCAAGATTTACCACTAACAAATCCATGTTGGTGTATAGATAGTAGTTTAAGTTTAATAAGGTGCTTCGTCATGTATTCTCTAACTAATCTCTCCATGATCTTACTTGCAATTGAAGTCAACGAGATTGGACAGTAGTTTATTAGTTCAAGTTTACATCCTTTCTTGAAAATAGGTGAGATATTTGCATCTTTCCATAAGGAACAATACCTGTTTCAAAGGATTTGATAAATATATAAGATAGTGGAAAACTCAGGCTCTTATAACATTTTAAAAGAACAAATGGATGTAACTGGTCTAATATACTGCCTTGATATCAGTTTTTATTTTTTTTTGTTTGTTGATGTAAGAGTATAAAATTTTAGGATTTTGTTTTGCATGCATTGAGATTTTTTTTTTATATTGTAAAACTGCTTTATTTACTAATTTTTTCACTAATATACATTGTTTGTTGAATTCAATTTTAAGCTTTATTTAATTTAGATGCAGCAATCATCTTTTTGAAAATACATAACTTATATCATGAAGCTTTTTTGATATCTTTATTCATCCATCTGGGTACTGATTTGGATAAGCCGAGGGTGGAGAGAGATCTTATGGGAACAAACTTCTCAACTAGTTTATTATAATAGTCAATGAAAATATTACAACATTGGTTAGCATTTTTTTCATAGAAGTTTGTTTATATTAATATCATTAAGTGTTTCACTTATAGCTTCATAATTACTACATTTGTAATCACGTACATTTCTTTGATTGTTTTGTGTACAGAAAGGATCCTTAACTCGATATTCCCACAACAATGTGATCTTTTAAGTTAGGCTACCACCCTAATGCAGTGGATTACCTGCGGGTCGTGTACTTTTAAATTTATTATTAGTTAGCTTATTACACAGGGACTAAAAAGTTTCAGTATGTATTTTTTTCCGGAGTGTATATATATATATATATATATATATATATATATATATATATATATATATATATATATATATATATATATATATATATATATATATATATATATATATATATATATATATATATAAATATATATATATATATATATATAGATATAGATAGATATAGATAGATATAGATAGATATAGATAGATATAGATAGATATAGATAGATATAGATAGATGTAGATAGATATATATATACATACATATATATATATATATATATATATATATATATATATATATATATATATATATATATATATATATATATATATATATATATATATATATATATATATATATAGATAGATAGATAGATAGATAGATATTATATACACAGACACACACAGACATACATACATTGGTATAAAAAACATCAAATACACTTTTTTTAAATGCAATAATTTATTATTCATAAGCATATATATAATATACTCCACCTTGAATTAGTTCGACGTGCTTGTTTTCCATCACAGCCATCAAGTTGATGAGCAAAAAAAATTAAAATACCAGAGAGAAGCCACACCCATCTTGGAACTTCTTTTTGTGATATAAAATGTACATCAAAGTATGAACAAAGTAGAAAACAACTCAACGAGCAAATCCATCCAAATAAAGTTAAAATATTGGCAGGGACCCACATAGGAAATATCTATGATGAAACACTAGTAACTTATAAGTTGATTATTGGTTAAATAATTGGTATATTTACAATGCAGTCTAGTAAAGTGATATCAAAGTAATTTGACTAGCTTACTTAAATGAAAATAAATTGTAAAAAAAAGGAATATTAAAAACTAGTTTTATAAACTGTAATGGAAAAGAAAACCTGAAATATAAAAATATATAAAATATGTATATTAAAAACAAAAATTCATGATATGTTACTTAACTGTATAATTTGTTATAGTCAAAAAGAGACTTAATAATCCTATTAGTATTATTTTGTAAAAAATTCTTATTATCATTATACCTTGACTAGTTGATCCCAAAATGGATGCATAACATAGTTTGATAATGGTGATGTGTCCACAGATTTATACTTAAAAAAAGAAATTTTATTATACATTATGCAAAGTTTTTATTTGACAAAATTCAAAAGTTTTATTTTATTAATAATGTTATCAAAAACAAGTGAACTAAGTCAATTTTCTGTGTGTATGTATGTATAAAACAGTTGTTTTACAAAACACTAGTTACATAACTTCTTTTAATCAAAATACAATGATTCTGACACAAATAGTACATAAAATATTAAATACAACAATGCATAAAATTTTATAACATACAAAATTAATAACATAAAAATTACAAATTTAGTTCTATTTTAATCAGGGTTGGCAAAAACCCGGGTTTTTGACCAAAAACCCAACCCAGCTGGGTTTTTGGGTGGGTTTTTGATGGGTTTTTGCTAAAGTTTGGTATAAATCTTTAGTAATCAAAGTTTGATTAATTTATAGTTTATAATATAATAAAGCTATTTTTCATTTTTTACAGGTATATTTTCTTATACAAAAGCTTTATTAATAATCAGATTGCATTTTTTTATAATATAAATCTATTTTTAAATAGAGTTATCTTTTTAGTTAAATTTAACATATAAGTAGATTATACGTCTTCAACATGCCAAAGTATCATTCAGGGGGAAGAAATAAGGCTAGTGAGTGGAATGAAGTGACCATATTAAGTGATCAACCAAATAGAGTAATATGTAATTATTGCAAAGTGAGCATAATTAAAAAAATAGAAAGAGTTAAGATCCATTTGGATAAATGCAGAAGAAAGAATAAACGAAGCAATAATAATTCCGCTGAAGTGTTAAGTGATATATCAGTTTTAGAGTCAAGGCCATCTACATCTGCAGCATCAAATAAGTCTAGCTTGTCTGATGATAATGAGCAAGATGGTTTAAGCTTTATTAGTGATTCTTTTTATTCGTCAATTGTTCAGTCAACTGCAATGACGATGCAACAGCAAACATCTATTTCTAAATTTGTTACTACAACAACAAGTAATCAGAAGGATGAACTGGATTTACAAGTTGCAAGATTTTTCTTTTCAGCAAATATACCATTCAACGTAGTAGAAAATCTTGAATTTACCAAGCTGCTTAAAAAACTTAGACCTGGATATGAGCCACCAAATAGAAAACAGATATCTGCAGAACTCTTAGTAAAGATAAATGAAGAAGTAATCAATTTAATGAAAAATGATCTTGCTGATGATAGTGCTGTTACCCTAATTCAAGATGGTTGGAGTACATTCAGTAATGATCCTATAATTGCTCATAGCATCCATAGTAAAAATAAACCTTATCTCATTTCTGCAATTGACACTGGAAGCCAATCAAAAACAGCAGAATATTGCGCTCAAGCTGCTAAGGATGCAATTAAAATTGTTAAAGAAAGTTCAATAAAGATGTAAGTGTTAGATGTTTAACTGCTTTATTTAATGTATATATATATACTATATACATATACATTTATATATATATATATATATTATATATATATATATATATATATATATATATATATATATATATATATATATATATATATATATATATATATATATCATATATATATATATATATATATATATATATATAAGGCCTCATATAAATATATATATATATATATATATATATATATATATATATATATATATATATATATATATATACATATATATATATATATATATATATATATATATATATATATATATATATATATATATATATATAAGGCCTCAACGGAAGAACGATTTTAATAAAATGATTTTTGGGGTGATTTTAATTCGTTGAACTACATGATGGCGTTTTAAATCTTAAAAATTGATTTTCTCAAAACATCAAAAGTGAGACTCTGATCGTTCTTCCGTTGAGGCCTTCATATATATACACATATATGTTTCATTTTTTATTTAGGTATTTGCAGTATGCACTGACAACGAAAATAAAATGTCTAAAATGAGAAAACTTTTGCAGGCTGAAGCCCCTAAGTTGATAACATTTGGTTGCTATGCTCATTTTTTAAATTTGGTTGAAAAGGATGTCTCTCCAAAGTCTATAGTAAAGCATATTATAGCAATTCATAAATATTTTCGTAATCATCACCAACCACGTGTATGTATTAAATTCTTTACTTATTGATCATATTCTGTAATACAATACTATGAAATAACACAGCTGTGTTAATGATATAAGCCTAATGATAATGATGGCAAAAGAGATCCTAGCTTTATTTTAACAAAATTATTTTTTAATATTTCTTTGTTAAATTTTCTTAAATAAATTTATTATAGAGTTGGTTATTGGAAAAAGGTGGACTGATGCCACAGCTACCTAATGATACTCGCTGGAACTCCCAACTAGATTGTTTACAGACATACATATCTAATCATTCTCTGTACGTTGACATTAGAGGTGAGCATATGGAATCCATTGATCCTTCGATAGGAAGCCTAATTGACAATCTATCAATACAGAGAGAAGCAATAAATTTATATGCACAACTGAAAATTGTTGGTGTTGCGTTAGATAAGGTTAATAAAATTAGTTATTAATTGGATTTATTAAATTTAATTATATTAAGTATATTAAAACCACTTATATTAGGAACAATGTCACCATTAACTTTATTTACCTAATTATTAGCAAAATTATTGTGTTTACTGTAGTTGCAAGCAGACGATACAACTTTATCTGAAGCAGTTGAGATTTGGCAAAGCCTCATACATAATGAAAAATTGGCTTTGTACAAAGATGATATTTTAAAGAGGTTCAAGAAGGCAATTGTTTTATGTCATTTTCTTGCCAATTTAACAGATCCAAAATATGAAGGTAATTAAACAATTGTAAAAAAACTTAAAGTATTGCATCTGATTAATTTTTAATAAAAACAAATGTAAAGTTTTTATTTAAGTTTACTACTCTTATAACTTTACTTATTTACTTAGGAAGAACATTGGATAGAAGTCAAGAAGAAGAAGCTGAGGAATGGTTGAATGAAGTCTATCCTGAATTTATGCCAGGCTATTATGCGTTTAAACTAAAAGATACTAATTGTTTCCCAACATATTTATTCAACGATAGTGTTAAAAGCACAACATCAGCAACAAATTGGTGGAGAATTATAGAAATGAAAGAATCTAAGTCTTCCAAATTGCCTGCAAATTTTGCAAAATTTTTACGGCAGTTGCACACTTGTCCAGCTAGTACTGGATCCATAGAAAGATTTTTCTCATCTTTTAGGATTATTTGGAGCAAAATTAGAAATCGTTTAGGAAGAGAAAAAGCTGAAATGCTTGTACAAATTTACAGACATTTAAGATCAAGATGCACAATTGCTGATGACTTTTAGATTACTTTGTTTTAAATGATTAAGCTTGAATATTATTGCTCCAAGTAAAATAAAATTCTTGTTTATGACTAACTAAACTTCATTTTTTGTTGTTAGTTGAGCAGCATCAAACCTTGTGTGTTAATGAAAATTGATTTATGAACAAAAAAATTAAAAATTAAAAATTTAAGACCAAAAACCCATAAAGTTGGGTTTTTGGTGGGTTTTTGGTCTTGGGTTTTTGGGTGGGTTTTTGGGTGGGTTTTTGGGTGGGTTTTTGGGTTTGGGTTTTTGGGTACCAACCCTGATTTTAATACTGCTTAAACTGTAAAGAAAAATATATTCTAAAAAACATTTTAAAAAATTGTTACATAGGTTTTTTTAATTATGGAGTATAATTATTCCACACATAATATATATCATATATCATCAAAACATGGAATATATAAATTAAACCATAAATGAATTATTATTTATTTATTGATAAAGAGACTACTAAGAGACCACTAAAACCTATTTTTTTGAGTTTAAAAGACAAATCTGTAGCAAGATTACTTTTTAAATAAAAATGTTTATGATAAAAATTTAAGCTTTAAAACTATATGTAAAAAAATGACAAAATATTTTTAATGATTACAATATATAACCAATCTATATTTCAATTCAGATTGGATAACAACTTTTAATGGAGATTTTGTGAGTGACAACTTTCAATGGAGATTTTGTGAGTGAAAACTACCAGCTACTAGTTGAAAATCATAATTAGGTGATCAATAAATATATTTTAACAATAACATCAACATTCCGTAAAATCAACTCTTGTGGATTATGCCCAAATTTGAGTTAATTTAACTCTTTATTAATTTAGTTACTGAATATATAACAAACCTATTATATGGTAATATATTATTGAACTGCATAATATATAGAGAATGTTAACTTTGTTTTTAATAAAATATAAACAAAATATAGCTTGTATTACTAATATTAATATAGCCTTATAATATTAATATAGCCTATATAATATTAATATAATAATATTAGGAATATTAATATTAAACTAATAATAAAGACTGATAAGACAATAACTACTAAAGTTTTTAAAAACAAGGAACAACAGAATTTTGCATCAGGAAGTATAAGTTAAGCACTTGATAGTTTAAAAAGTATTGAAAAGTGTTGAAGCATTTGTTTTTGCTGTAAAAACTGTAAATTTTGCAATAAAAGTTAGAATATCAATCAATGGAATAACCTGATTGTCTAGGGTGTTAGAATTAAAACATAAATTAGAGGAAAGATTAATTGCAAATCACTAGTGTTTTATTACAAGAGCCAAAACAATTGCTTGCATGACAGCTAATTGAAACTATTGTTTGCATAAAAAACTATTGTTTGCATGAAAACTATTGTTTGCATGGCAGCTTACAAACAAATTAGCTGTCATACTTTTATTAATTCTACATTTTTTTCATCTTTTACTTTGCCATGTTTTGAAGTGAGAATATTTTGCTGTTGCAAATGTTTGATAAAGTTTCAAACTATTTGCATTGTTTCTTTCTAAGTTATGGAGTTGTATAATATTTTATTGCAAGTACCATATTGTTTGTTTAAAATACAACTTTTCTATAAAATATAAAAATGTGCCTAATATAATGCAACCTTAAATGATGACCAGCTGTAAAATAATTGCTACTACTAGTCGTTTATTACTCAGTTGGTATAAAAAAAAATTAAAATTCAAGTTGAAATCAATTTTAAAGTTTTTTGTTTCTTTTTAAATATGGTTAGTAATTGTCTATTGAAAACCAAATATATTACTATACTGCTTATATAAAATATCTATATTACTTATATTAAGGAGAGATAACCAGAGACGGTTGCCCCGGGCACCACAGCTTATGGGGTGCCACTGGAAATTATTTTTTTAGCAGTCTTCATAACTTTATAAAATATCTTTTTGATTGACTTTAATGGATATCAGGTTGCGTACATACACAAAGACCTTAGGCCCCGAGAAAAAGTATATTTTTTACTTTTAAGTCCATTTCAAAAATGTTAATTTTTGAAAATTTTTTTAAATATATTATATATTTATTTACTTTTTTAGTCCATTTATTGCATACAATTGTAAGTAATTTGTTGACACGAGTGACAGTAAGTGCAGTGGCTTGTTGCAATATAAAGAGGGTCAGTGAGAGTTATGGACTGTTATTAAGTTATTATAGCTGTGCATGTAATCTGAATAGTCAATGTACTCATGTTTGTTTTGCGCAGACAATAAACCGACAAGAAAATTGTTAAAAATGTCAGAATAAAAAGGGTTGCAAACTGTAATCAGTATCATTAAGGTCACCTTAATGATGAATTTAAAAACTTACATTATGAAGAGTTTATGTTTCCAGAAACAAAAACAAAGTTTTACATTTAATTTGAAATTAAATATTTTTTTATTGAAAATGATAAGTAAACTGTCAGGTTTTAAGAGAAAAAAATTAGCCAAGGATTATAAAGCAGACCATGAAGCAGGGGTGTGGAATCGTAAAAAAAAAGTAAAGACTCCCACTCCAGTTGTTAAAATTTTTTGAATACAACTCAGATTTAGACTCCAGCTGTTGAAATTTTTTGAGCACAACTCTGACTCCAACTCCAAAGCAAAATATTTGAAAAATTCTTTGAATTTTTTAAAAAATATTACGCAACAAGTTAAAAAATTGAAACGTTCTTTGAAGTTTAGTATGAACATAACGTTAAGTGAATGTTTTTTACATACACGTGCAAGAAGTTTTACTATTGGAGTCGGAGTCGCGATTTTGCTTAGAAACTTCGCAACTCCGACTCCACAGCTCTGCCATGAAGCTGTTTTAAGTAAAGTGGCATAACTAACACAATCTTTTCATTCTTCAAGTTTTTTACAACCATGTGAAACAAACATTTTGTGTGATGAAAACTCCTTAAAAACATCACCGCCCAAATTTTATTCCTAGAACAGGCCCTGTATCTATATATATAGTTTAATTGTTTATGTTGATATATTGGTACTAAATTGGTTCAATTTTTTTTTTTACATATTTTCCAGCTTCCATTCTGAATTTTCCCTTCTTATTTTTTTTACTGCATAACTAATTTAGTAAAAAAATGATACGATATTTGACGTTTTCACAGAATTCAAGTACAGTTCCATCCAACACAATACTTAGGTTGGGTTGTTAAAAAATTTTGTGTTAATTATATTTTTGTTTGCTTAAATTGTGAAGTAACCACTCTACATATAACATATAGTTATATATATAGAGTGGATTTTTTTAATTTATTAACTAAAAGTCTTCTGTTGGTTGTTTCAAAAACTCTTTTTAGATCTAACATTATGGTTATTACAAATTTATTATTGTTGATCTAAGATCTCCATTTAGACACAAATAGTTTGAATAGCTGTTTTTGTTGAGCGACCTCTGAATCTAAACTGTTTTTTGATATTAAGTCTCTATCTTCCAACTATTATTACTAAAAATTACTGTTATACTCTCAATGTGGTCTAATATGTGCTTGATAATTTTTTAACTTAACGTTTTGATTGATTGAATGAATGATTTGAATGATTGATTGTTGCACAAGAAGAAAATGAAGTAAATCAGACGTTAATCACTTAAAATAGCTCCTCTTTCTCTTTAAAAAAATAAAAACATTAAAAGAGGCACCCGTTGCACACAAGTTTTAGAGTATATTAGATACTATACAGTATACAGTTTAATAATGCAAGATGCAATGTATCGCTATAAAAAGAATGGTTTTATGAATATAATAAATAATGCAGCAATAAATAAGATGAAATATGTTGAGATTTGCACTTACTTTATATTTTTCAAATCCATTAAGTTTTTCTCTTGACAAGTATTTGTAATTAAAAAGCAATGATGAGGCCATTGCAGTAGATTATTACGATATAATATATATTATTACAGTATTGCAGTAGATTATTACGATATATTATATATTATAACGAACCGACAGAAATTTATCAATCAAAAAAACTTATTGACTTGTTTTTTTTAATTAGCTTTAGATTATTTAAAACCAATGTAAATGAGCAGGCGAGACAGATTTTGGCTAGAAGCAATACGTTAAAAGAAAAACTGCAGGACTTAATTTGTACTTAGTTTATGTTTTGTATGCATCATTAACTTATTGATACAAACAATACAAAAGATTGACTTATTGAATAAGTCAATTGAATAACGGGCGAGGCAGTCTTATGAGTAATGGTATTTTTCAATTTACAATTAAATGTTAAGAAAAAACGATAGTTAAAAAGTTTTCAAATAATCAAGCTAACTTATAGGTAGCGCATATATGAAATTTATGTGATTTTAAATTTTACCGCGTATTTTTCAATATTGTAATATGAGTAATTACACTAATAATTTTATATATTATATAAATATACTTATTCTTTTCATAAAGTACTACAGATGTAAATATGCAAAACGAAATGTAATAAAGTTGTTTTTAGATGTTGTTTATAAAATGGAAATGCCCGTAATGAGGGCAAGTTTAACCATCATTAAATTCGACCATCACTATTTCATTATTTATTTGTTACAACTATTATTGTTATTTTTATTATTATTAATTTTAAATTATTATAAATAAGAAAAAAATTAAAATAAAAGATGAAAAACTAAAAGAGACAATATTGTTGAAATATAAAGAAAGAAATAAAGTAGATAAAGTAAATAAAGAACGCGGGTTCTCCGTAGTCATCAAATCTTGTCACAGAGAAACTTTTTTTGTAAAATTAGAACTTTTTCAACAAAAGTTTTTAAATTTATTTATTTTCTTAAAATGATCTTCTACACCACTGAAATATGTGAACAATAATCTCTATAAATTTCTAAATAAATATAACGCGTAGAGAGACAATAGCATAAAAATAGAATGCGTCCATAATTTTCAAAATAAATATATTGTCTTGCGCCCACATAATCTTAATTGCTGGATATAATTGTTAGAATCTTATTTGTGAAAGAAGATTGTTAAAATATTATGAATCGAACATAATGAAAATATATTTGTACTGGTGTTCTTCCAAATACATATCTAGATTATCGAAAAGGTTGTGCAAAAGAAACTAAAGACCCATACGATGGTGTTGCTGAATATAAAGCCAGATTACTAAAGTAGCATACATACTTACTAAAGTAGCATACATACATATATTTGTGGATACGCATAAATCCCGACATGCATTCATTTCTTATATTATATATATATATATATATATATATATATATATATATATATATATATATATATATATATATATATATATATATATATATATATATATATATATATATATGTCGTTAACTAAATATATACTTACTCACTTATTTACACTTTTCTAAACACACATTTTATAAAACATATTATTGTTACAATTATTTATATTTCAGATTTATAAAGATTTATATCAAAATCAAGAAAAATATGATCAAGAATGCAGTAAAAAAAAACACATTAAAATTAGAAAAAAAAAAAAAAAAAACAAGTAATTACTCCTATTTAAAAGTTTCAGAAGAAATTTGTTCTCAATTATCAAAAGTTTTTGTTTAAGTTTATTTTTAAATTTATCAAGGAAAGAAATTGTTTTTAACTCATTGTTTATTTGTGTTTTCCATAATTTAGGAATTTGTGATCGAGAACATAGCAGAATAATTTGTTTTTGGTTGAATATAATTATTATTTGAAAATCGTCTTGGGAATAAATGATTTACTTTTTTTTTTATGAGTTAAATAGGATGGGTGCTATTTTATTATCAGCTTGAATATAAATATAAAAGTTTGATAAAGGGTAGGTTAAAATACATTGTGCAACAATATAAAAAAGTATACAACTGGCTGGAAGAAGAATGCATAAATTAGCCACATCACCGATAATAACGCCTCTAAATACCCGTATCACAGCAACAGCAGTTGAAAGAAATTTTAAGATGTTAAGAAATAAAAAAAGGCAATAAAAAAAGTTAAAAAATAAATAAAAAAAAAAGAAAAAGAATTTTTCGTTTTTGTTTATAAACTGAACGTAATTAGAAATTAAAAATAATAAAACTTCTGTTGCAATATCATAAAATATATTAAATTAATTTGTAGGTAACTTCAATAGGAAATATTTTCAATGAAAGTCTGATATTGAAATTGAAATGACATTCTGTTAATTTCATTCAAAATATTTTCGACATCGAAATTCTCAATATTGATGCTGTTCTTTTAAATAATTAATTAATTAATTAAATAAATTAATTTTAAATAATATTTTTAAATTTATGGAGATTTTTAAATTTATGGAGATTTTTAAATTTATGGAGATTTTTAAATTTATGGAGCTAATTTACTTTAATATCTTCTAAAAGAGACAGACAAATATATAGGGTAGATTAGGGTAATATGAGCACCTAAGTAATATGAGCATACTAAAAAATTTATAAGATGTAAGCAGTGGAATTAAAGTTGCTTTTTATTTTTTTGAATCGACTTTATGTGGTGATAACAGAAATCAGTATAGTTAGCGTAAGTTTAAAGACAGTAATTAGCGATCATTTACTTAAAACGCTATTAAATTTTTTGCGTTGTTAAAATATTATCACCATTAAATGTGTGGTGCGAAATTTTGGTGCTGAAATAATAAAATTAATTTTTTCAGAAAGAAAAATATGTTAGCTAGAAATCCGTTTCAATTTTGTTTGAAAAACAATGCATAAAAACACTTAGTATTGACTTTATTTAAAGATTTTTGTGTAATATGAGCATGCTCAAATTACCCAGTGTTTGTCATTGGAACTATCTAGTTTAAAATTTAAAAATTGCGGGGTTTTAATTTATTTTTATCAAAAATAAAGCATAGTAAAATTTTTTAAATGTTTTAACAAGACTAAATGCCTTTTTAAAAATTCAAAAAATTTGTAATTTTATTGTTTACAGGTTTGAGTTAATAAAATTGAAAAAAAACAAGCTAATTTTTTTTTTTTTTTTTTTTTTTTTTTTTTGTGCATAAAATGATCGTTTTATGCACACAAAAATTGTATTGCTTCAATACATTTCAAGTTATAGTAATAACGAATCATTATATTCCACAAATAAGTTCTAATTGTCAGGATGATATTTTTTTATTTAATCAATGTTATTTTTAAATCTAATTTAAAGTGCTCATATTACCTAGTGGCCTGGGTAATATGAGCACTTTTGCTACTTTTTAAAACTATAATTTTTAAAACCTGTACTACTTTATAAAACCTTTTTAAAACATGTACCGGAAATCCGGCTGGATTTTTTTTCTTTTTGATCAATTCGCTTCTGGCTCGAATTAAAAAATTTTCTTTGCTTTTTTTTTCATGACATGTGACACAGGCCGTGTAAATAAATTTAAAAATCATTATCCTACAGAGCAATGAAGAACTACAGGTAAACCTAGGTAAAAAATGCTAATGTAATTTTTTTTGCAGGAATAGTAGTACTGCAAATACATTTTCAAAAATTATATTTGTATTTTTTACTTCGGTTTACCTATAGTTTTTTATTGCTCTGTTGGATAATGATTATTTGATTTATTTACAAAGCCTGTGTCACATGTCATAAAAAAAAAAAAAAGAAAAAAAAAAAAATTAATTCCAGCCAGAAGCGAATTGATCTAAAAGACAATAATTTCGGCTGGAATTTCGGTATATCTCTAATCATGAGTATTGATTCCTGAACATTGTTTATTTCAATAATTTTGAATCCATCATAATTATTTTTAAAAATATTTTAATTTTTGAATAAGGTACTCATTTTACCCTAATCTACCCTACATTAAAATCCGTAAACACAGAATAACGTCTTAATTTAGATTTAAATTGCGGAAATGTTTTTTTCTCTGATATTAACAATATGCTGAAAATTTTTCCACAAAGTAGATCCCTGGTACTTAATAAAGTAAGAACATACATTTAGATTATATTTTTGAGTAACAAAATTATTTTCTGAAAACTTGGTGAAGTATTTATGACATACTTCTTTAAAATAGTAATAGAATCTTCCATACGATCTTCCAAAAGCCCTAAAAAAACTTGATGTAATAATGTTCGCTGATGATACAAATTTATTTTACTCATCGCCGTCTATTAGCGACCTTTACGAATCTATGAACACTGACCTCGAAAACCTCAACATCTGGTTTAAAGTAAATAAATTATATTTGAAAACAGAAAAAACAAAATATATCTTGTTTCACTCCAACCGTCTTAAAAACTTTATACCAGACACTCTACCTTCACTAAAAATTGATAACATAAACATCAAAAGAACTGAAATAACTAAGTTTCTTGGAATAATTATTGACTAGAATATTAATTGGAAAGCCCAAATTAATACAATAAACACAAAAATATCAAAAAGTATCGGCGTACTCTACAAAGCCAAACCTATGCTTTCCCAAGACAACTTAAAAATTCTCTTCTTTTCTTATATTCAAAGTTACCTAACATACGCTAATATTGCATGGGGAAGTACCCATAAAACTCAATTAAATTCACTCTACATACATCAGAAACATGCATCAAGATTAATTTATAATAAAAATAAATTCACTCATGCCGACCCTTTACTTAAAAATTTGAATGCATTAAATATCTATCAAATAAATATTTACCAAAATATCTTATTCATGCTAAAATACAAACTCGGATTTTTTCCGAAATACTTTACTGATAGCTTTTTTCATATCAACGCAACCATATCACACGAGGAACAGGCAACTTCACCCTGCCTTTAAAAAAAACAAAATTCTCGCGATTTTCTTTAATATACCGTGGCCCATACTTACATAACAAAATAATACTTCAAAATATGGAACTTAATAAAATGGATAACCTTATTGCTCTGAAAAAAAAACTAAAGCATATCATAATTAACTTAACCAACTTCATCGAAATGTATTAAACAATTTTGGAAAAATAGTAATAATAAAAAGCCCTACTACTTCTACTATATAGTAGATA